TACTCAAATCTGGCTCATGGTATGCGTGGCCTCTCTCCAGAAAATCCAAGAGCCCACCAATCTGCAAGTCAGACGTCTGAATGCTGCGACGCGAAAGCTGATCAGCAGCCCGAAACGCATCACCTCCCCTCGGATGAAGCCGACGAATGAAGTTGACATCCACAGCGATTCGGGGTATCGGAAGCTCACCGGGGAGGAGGAGGATGAGACCAAGGGCTACGGCATACGCGGGGCTAATGTACTACGGCGAGGAAACTCGCCCCAAGGCAAGTCCGTCGTTCACCTCTGTGACGGACTATGCAAATCACACCGACTGCAGGTGAGGTCCAGCTATGCTGCGGAGGCACTCGCAGCTGCGCATAACCTCGATGAGTGTTACCCTACGCTCATCACTCTCCACAAGCTCAAGGCAGGAGCTCTGATTCCACGACAACTACGAGATATGCGTGAAGTTGGAGGCCGAGCCATCAAAGTATCTCTTACCATAGACGCTGAGTCCGTTTATAAATCATTATCAAGCAAGGATCTTAAGATACCGACAGAGCGGACTCTGCTTGGACATATCAGTTGGATACGTGAGCTCATGGATATAGGTATAGTACATAACGTGCAGTGGTGTGATACTAGGGATATGACCGCAGACGGGCATACAAAGGGAAGCATCGATCGGGAGCTGCTTCTGGAAGTGATGTCAGGCACTCAGTCATTCAAGTATGACGTGAAGCAGTTTGTTCCCTTCCGGGGACCCGAGGACAGAAACAAACCCAAGTCTAATCAATTTTAGTCTGTCCTTGTTGCCCCCCGCGGTCCAATTTGCCAGCATGGGCGCTAACTACAGAGGCGCCCTTCTAGTTGCTCGGAAACGAGCCTTACATTTCACGCCTGGCAACGAGCCGGCTTTATATGACTCAGGCTCTTTGCCTTGATACATTTTTGTTCGGTGAGGTATGGCCCGTTTGGCTTACCTCTAACTGAGCCGATAGCCCTTCATCGTTCGAAGGGGCTATCTTGTATTTGCGTGAAATGCCTTGCGAGGAAACTCGCCTTACAGTCTGGTGTTAGGCCAGACTGTACACACTGTTTTCTTTCTTGCAAACAGTTGTGCGCGCGGCCTTTGTGGAGCCTAACGGCTGCGCGGCTATGCTCTCCGTCTCCTCCCCTCCCGACTTTAAGGGTAGCTCTTTGGGAGATGTTATAGTATCGGGAGCATAGCTCGCGCGCCGTTGCCTTTGGCTCAAGGCACGCGCGCCCTATTTGCCCGGACACTTACCTTCGTGTTCGCTATGTGCTGGAAAGACCGATACATCGATCTTATCCTATCATACCCGTCCATTCCCCATACTGAACCACCCCAGCAGGGTAATGGACGCTATCTGCCATTCGATTCCCATGGGAGCGGATGCTATTTGAGTTAACAGGCTCACTTTCGACTTCGGGAATGCGATCCGTGTGCAATGTGCAAGGATCGGGGATGCGAGCATTGTACATGTTACCAGGGATCGTGGCATGGCGGGCGCGAAGCATGTATGTGTTTTTGCAAGTCCCACGGCCCAGCAGGAATTTAGGCAACGCGATCTGGGGGTCCTGAAAAGCTGGTTTGGGACTCCTCCCCTCACGCGGTCAGTAACAGTTTACAGTAGGAACTAGAAGTTACATCAAAATTGGTGCAAGGAACAGCAAGCCTCATCCACGCAGCCTGATGGCCCCGCCCGGCGGATTGGAAGCCAACAGGAGAGCAGGACCGCGGAGGGAGAAGCAGGGCGGTATGATACCGAGAAGGAGAAGGAATAGGGAGAGACGAGGAGGGGGAAGAGCATCAGGCGGATACGGAGCGACAGAGGTCGGGAAGCGAGTGGTCCTTCGCGGCTGCGTTGCCAACGGGGACAGCAGTCAGGACGAGCATCTCCCAGCAACGGCTCCTCCTCGGTCGTGTGAGTGTCCGCGTAGTTTACGGCATCGTCGGACGCATGCCTCCACATGGGGATACAAACTTGGGGTCCCATTGGGGATACAAGCGTAGTCGTGTATCGCGCCGACAGCCAGCACTATGGATTCGAGCACACCCGCATCGCTCACCTTGGCGGAGTTGAGGACCACGCCGCCATCCAGTTTGACGGCACTGAGCGCTACCATGTTGTCACGAAATTGAACACAGCGTCGGTGTCCAGCACTACGGAGTCGTCCACCACCACGGTGTCCGCCATGACGAGCGCGGGTACAAGGTCCGCATGCAACGATGGAGCAGCGCTTGCTCAGCAAGCCGCTGCTGGGCCGCTGCCGCCACTGCAGCCTCAGGCCAGTCGCCAGCACCATCAAGCCCTTCCAGTGGCGCCGTGCAGCCCAAGGAACTTTCGTGGTTTCCGTGGCTACTTTAAAAACTATGGGTGTTTGCTGCGCGACTTCGGGTTTCACGACGGGCGCCAGCAGGTTGATTTTCACCAGTACGGGTTCGGGCCGTAGTTCTGAGGTTGTTAGGTTTCTTCTCTTCTCTCCGACCCCCTGCTCCTGCGAATTGGTGTCGCATGCGGGCACCGCGTGCGTGGGCAACGCGTGTGGCCCCTCCGTGCTCGCTTCTGGGCGACCCTGGATGTGCCCCAGGCTTGCCCTGCTTGCCAGCCGTCGCGGCTGTCGCGCGTTCCGATTGGGGATCGCATTCATGTTCCCTCCCTTTCAGATTTATATAATGTCGCTGGCGAGTGTTTACACCCAGTAGGTACTGCTTCGCCACGCTTTAGCTTTTCATATCGTTGTTGCTCTCCTGCTCGTCTTCCACTCCTCCTCCCAGTCTCACCAGTTCTTGCGTTGGATTTGTCAGTGTGGCCGTTTGGGCCGCGCTGTAGGGGTAAAGCGCAGCTTCTATGCAACCGCGGGGCCGATACGTTTCTAGGGAATTCGTATCATGGACTTACTCTGCTCCTGCCTGAGTCCAGGGCCATTGCCGATTTTCGGGGACATTGCTCAGCTCGGCGGTTCTTGCCTTCCGCCCTCCTCCGGGACCGCTCGCCCAGGCAATAATTATAATTTGTGGCTCCTTTTGTTCGCGTCTATCCCCAGGTAGCGCGTACAGTAGGCAGTAACGTAAACGTGGCGTGGCCCGTATCTCTGGCCAGAGTTTTGGCCATGTTCGCAGGTGAGCCTCGTGACGAACGCGGTAGGTGCCGGCACGCTTGGCGTGGCGAGTTGTGTATTTCCAAAAACGCACTAATGTTTGAAACGGATGGTCGCGCTTCAACATTTCGCTTATTGCATACCGGGCCGGGCCCGCCGCCAAACAGATGTTGGAGTCTTCTGGAACAGTTCAGTGGACGTCTTGGGGCTTTCATGGTTTCGCCCCTGCCCCAGCCCACTCGCAGGCTTTCCTGGGGGGGCAGTTTCCAGAGATTTTCTGAGTTGCTGCCGTCTCGGACGAAATCTGCTCGGGATGCTCTTGGGGCCGGCTTGGCCGTCTCGGGGCCAATTCGGACTTTGTTGGGTTGTTCTTTGGTTTTTCCGGAATGCCCAGGGGCCTGGACAAATTTGAGACAGTTTTTCGAGTTGTGCACGCACAACCCAAGGAGCTTACGCACGAGCGCCATTTTCGGAAGCGAGCGATTGTCATTCGATGACTTCGGCCTCTAGGGGGGTTTCCTGGTGACACTGCGGGGCCATCATGAATCCATTCACGGTTTTGCCGCGGCAGAGTGCGGACTGCTCGACCAAGGAGTGTCGACCGCCTTGCGCAGGGACTCCATGAAGCCTTGAGAGCCCCCCCCGACTGCGCAGCGCCCCCGGCAGCCAGTTGCCGGTTCGTCCGAGGCTGGTCTGCCCGGGGGCGCACGCGCTCGCCGGCCGTTGCTTGAGCTCTTCTGCGCCGCCCCCCTTAGCAGCCAGTTGCCGGTTCGTCCGAGGCTGGTCTGCGTGGGGGGAGCGCGCGCGCGCCGGCACCGTTTTCTGATTTCTTCTGCGCATGGCCGTGGCGCAAAAAAAAATGAATCCATTCACGGTTGAAAACGAAGACAGCGGTAGCCATTTCTCCGAGCACAGTATATGATTACCACCACCACGATCGAGAATAATCTACGATGCGATTTGGTGCAGTTTTGTTCTGGTGAAAGGCCCGCAGTCCCCCTCCCGCCGCCAACGGCAACCGGGCTGCCCCCTCTCTCTTAAGGACCGAAGCAGAGTTCATCAAAGCACGCGCGGTTGTGGTGTATATAATTTTGGTTACCAAGGGGGGCGATCTTTATACGCCACCACCAAGAAGTGATGTTTCTGCTTCAGGAACTCCCCATGCCACGGCGCCTGCGAGCTGCGCCGCGCTCCTTTTCGCCGTGGCGTCGCAGCGTCGTCCGGCATGACCCTGCCCCTAACCCTTCTTGCGGTAAATTACTGTTGCGGGCGGTGGTGGCGCACCTCGCAATTTCGGATTATGTTGGGCAGTCTAGGAGTCCATCCTTGCGCATTCTGGTCAAAATCTCAAACCAGAGTGATCCACAACAGTTTTGCAGGCCGAGACGGTCATTAAGGGGCCGCTGAGGGCCCGCGACATGCATTGAGGAGTTCGAGAGGATCCAGGCCAATCACGCGAGGCCAGGGTAGATGGGGTCGGAAGATCGCGCCGCATCGCCGACGCATCGGCGATGCCGCTCGATGTAGAGTCCGATGTTCTACACGCCGGCAGGCAACAGGCTGAAGAGGACGGACAGAGATTGTTGTTGTTTCTTCTGGCGCGTAACGGTCGTCACCCGGCCCCCCCCGCCCAGGTAATGGTAACGATCGTACGTGGGGGGGGGGCTTGGTTTCCTAGCCACCCATGTTGGCGCCCACCCGTATACTATGGCGGTCGCAGCTCACCCCAGTCCCGACGTGCCGCACCCCGCCCAAGCGTTACCGCTACTCGGTGCCCAGCCCCACCTCCGGGGTAAAGAACGCTACCCGATGTGATAAACAATTAACATCCCACATGTCAGGCTCGTCGCGTCACCCCGAGCAGTTGAGAGCTGCGCGCCGTGCCGCGTCAGGGCTGCTGCCGGTCCCTGGGCTCACCGCGGAGCAGCTGCAGGCGCTGGAGCAAGACCCCGAGCTGGCGGCGGTCTTCCAGGAGTGCCTGGCAGGGCCGCATACGATCTGATTCGATGCGATTCGATTCGCCGGCTGGTGCCGCGATTTGGATTCGATTCGACTCGGCTCGATTCACTGGCATCGGCCGGGGCGGGGCCGTCGCAGCTCGATCCAGCTCAGGCCTGCCAGGGCGTGGAGTCCGTGCCGAAGGAGGGGTCCGCGAGGCCCTTTCAGGAGAGCCCTGGCTGACCGCCAGCGCTGGGAGGCCGACAGAGGCAAGATGCACGGAGCGTCCTGGCCAGGTGCGGCCTCGGACGGGCCTGGCTCGCAACAAATTGTTTGCACCACCTACAGAAACAACTAACACTGAATAAATGCGCCCGTTGGGCAACACGTGCAACAGCTGCGCCTTGTGAGCGAAATGTTAAAAACAATAGACGTCGCGGGACAAACAACTACTGACAAACACTGACAGTCAATGCCAACGAAGCAGCAACCCATGAACACATAATCGAAGCACAGAGGAACAGCAGCAGCACATATGAACGCACGTTGAAAGGCAATGGGAACAAGTAATGACATCCTTGCAGCACCGAAGAGAACCGACGGTTCCCCACAGTGGAACGTGTGTATGTACATATATATATATAACTTTATGTGTACATCTGCATGTATGTATATAGATCGTTGTATACATTATACATGTACATATATGTATTACTATGTACATATATATGCATAGATTCCCAGTTCGATTTGGACAGTCTGGAACCCTGCGAATCCCCCTGGATCAGTGGCCCCAGGGGCACCCTGGATGCCCTTGCAGCCTGGTCCCTTGTGCTTTCCGGGGTTCCTGAAGCCCCTGCTGGGCTTATACAACGGGCCCGAATCGGTCAGGAGGTCGGCCGGACAGCCCCGCGAGAGCCCACAGAGGCCCCAGACACCCACCAGACGTCCCGAGACGACCGACAGAAGATCCCCAAGAGGAATTCGAAACGCAAAACACGTTGATTCCCGATGGTTTTTGTATGATGTTGGGAATGTTCAGTTCTTTGGTCTTTGGGCATCCGAGACCGCCCAGGAGGCCAGAGAATCGCCCCACATTTAACCAAGAGGGCTTCCAGGCAGTCCAAGATCGTGAGGCTTACAAGCGGCTCTCCTGCGATGAGCCTCATCAACAAGAGTTGAGGATGGGGAATAATTCGCAGGGTAGGGCGAGACTGATGAAGAGGAGGAGTGAACATGAATTAAGCATAACAAATAACATCATTACAACGACGATGCCAGAAAAGGCAACACCGGGTTATCGTTAACTGTCCCGTTTTACTTGATTGCCTTCTCTCTGCATGTCAAAGTTAAATGACTAGAGTGCATGGCGCGACGCGCCAATGTAGTCTTATGTGTATGCGTGTATGCATGCATGCATGTGTGTATGCATGTACGCGTGTAAGTATGTATGCATGTGTGTAGGTATGTATGAGTATATACAGTTACGTTTGCATGCATGCATGTATGCAGGTAGGTATGTGGGTATGCATGTATGTGTTCATGTATGTATGTGTGTATGTGCATATGTGTGTGTATGCGTGTGTATATATGTATGTGTGTATGTGTATGTTGATGTGTGTATGTATGGATGCAGGTATGCATTTATGTATGCATGCATGCATGCATGTATGTATGTATGTATATATGTATGTATGTATGTATGTATGACTGGATGTATGACTGGATGCATGTTTGTTTGGTTGTTTACATGTATATGTGTATGTATGTATGTATGTACGTATGCATGTATGTATGTATGTATGCATGCATGCATGCATGTATGTATGTAGGTGTTTGTTTATGTGCGCATGCTTGTATGCGTATATTTATATATGTGTATATATATGTATATATGAAAGAGCGTGTTCTACCGCTGCTGGCGGAAAACCGGGGGGGTCACTACCGGTTCGAACCCCTCCCCCCCCCCCCCCCCTCCGGAAAACCGGGGGGGGTCACTACCGGTTCGAACCCCTCCCCCCCCCCCCCCTGCTCATCATGAAAAGGGGGGGGGTCACTACCGGTTCGAACCCCCCCCCCCCCCCCCCTCCGGATCCGGAAAACCGGGGGGGGTCACTACCGGTTCGAACCCCCCCCCCTCGAAAACCGAGTGGGGGTGCGGACAGTGGTGGGGACGGTGTTGGTGGGGACAGTGGTGAGGGGATAGCGGGACAGTGGTGGGGACAGTGGGACAGTGGGACAGTGGTGGGGACGGTAGTGGTGGGGACAGTGGTGGGGACAATGGTGGGAACAGGGGGGGACAGTGGACAGTGGTGGTGACGGTGGTGGTGGGGACAGTGGTGTGGGGACAATGGGAATGAGGTGGAAACAGTGGGACAGTGGAGGGTACAATGGTGGTGGGGACAGTGGTGAAGGCGGTGGCGAGGACGGCGGTGGGACAATGGGACAGAGGTACAGTGGGGACAGTGGTGGGGACAGTGGGGACAGTGGTGGGAACAGTGGGACAGCTCAGTGGGACAGCGGAGGAGTCAGTGGGACAGTGGGGACAGTGGGGATAGTCGGGCAGTGGTTGGGGCCGTGGAGACAGTGGGGAGAGTGGAACCGTGGTGGGAACAGTTCTGGGGACAGCGGGGACAGTGCGACAGTGGTGGGGCCACTGGTGGGGACAGTAGGGGCGGTGGTGGAACCAGTGGGGACAGCGGTGGTGAGGACAGTGGTGCTGGGAACACCAGTGGGGGATGTGATGCGGACGGTGGTGGGGACCGGGAGTCGTTTGCTGGCGGTGAGTAGGGGGGGGGGGGGGGGGGGGGGGGGGGGGGGGGGGGGGGGGGGGGGGGGGTGGGGGGGGGGGGGGGAGGGGGGTTCGAACCGGTAGTGACCCCCCCGGTTTTCCGGATCCGGAGGGGGGGGGGGGGGGAGGGGTTCGAACCGGTAGTGACCCCCCCGGTTTTCGAGCGGGAGGGGGGGGGGGGGGGGGGAGGGGTTTGGGAGGGTTTTGCCGGGAGGGGGGGGGGGGGGGGGGAGGGGTTCCAGCAGGGGGGGGGGGGGGATTTCGGAGGGGGGGGGGGGCGACCCCGGGTTCCGGAGGAAAAGGTTGGCAATTTTCCACAGTAAAGCGGCGGTGGATCACGCTTCTCTCTCATTATATATATAATATATGCATGTCGATTGTTGTCTTCCTATATGTTTGCAAGCCTGGGAGGGACCCCCCCCCCCACCCCCCACTCCACCCAAAACGAAACCCCAGATCCGTGGCCCCAGGGGCCCCTGCCCCTGGGCGCCCCTGCAGGAAGCCTCCCAGGTTTTCTGGAGCTCCTGGAAGCCCCTGCTGGGCCTACGGCTTAAATCGGTTTGGAGGGCGGCCGAACGACCCCCCCAGAACTCAAAGAGACCACAGACACCTAACAGATGTCAGAGTACGACCCAAAGATGACCACCAAGAGGCTTTCGACACAAAGAAAATCATTGATTTACACTTTTTTGTTGCATTAATTTGGGAATGATATGTTCTTCGGTCTTCTGGGCCGAAATCGCCCCAAAACTGTCCAAAAGGCTTCCAGACAGTTCAGGAGAGCTCGACGACGGCACAACAGGGTTCCAAGATGGCCCGAAGAGAGCCCCATGACAGCGATGGCCCAAAGACGCCCGCCGAAGCATTCTAAATCGTGACCCGGTCGTTGAGGGAGACCGCAGTTAAAAGCAGGACGGCCCGAGAAAGCTCCCCGGGGTCCCCAGGAGGCGCCCAGGAGGACTCCAGAAGGCCCCAAGAAGCCTTTAAACATTTCGTGAGGCCCCAGCAAGCTCTCCAAGGAGTAATCTCCGCAAAAAGAGCTGAGGAGGATGGGGAAGAATTCGCAGGGTCGGGCGAGAAGGGGGAAGAGGAACAGGAAGAATGAGGGAAGGACAATGAATACCATTACTACAACTGCGATGTCGGAAAAAGGCAACAATGCGTCATCGGTAAATTGTCTGGTTTACCATCCTGCCCTTCCGCCTGCATGCCAATGGTGCGAAGCGCCAATGCAGTGCAGGCTGCGGGGGTGGGCGGGCCTGTGCCAAAGGTTGGCATGGGTCCCTGGGGGCCCTGGACGGCTCCGAGACGGCCCAAGAGACGTTTAAGAGGGCCCCAACACACCCCATGAGGGCGACAAGACGGCCTAAGAGGCGCCCAAGATGGCCCAAGAAGCCCAAAGTGAGCCCTCTTCAATGAGTCTGGACACGCCAACAGGCTCCCAAAGGGAGCCCAGCAGGTGCCAAGACGACCCAATGACGCCCACAATTGTTTCGAAACGGCACACCAGTCCTCCAAGACGCCCCAAGGAGGTTTCTAAATGCCTTCCGAGAGAGCCCCAAGGCAAAATGAATGGATCTTCTCCCGGCTGTTCCAGCATTTCCCCTGGTCGCCTGTTCCGCTTCCCGACGCTCCGAGACGGCCCAAGCGGCGTCCACGCGGGCCCCAATCATCCCAAGAGGCACACACACACGGACACACACACACAGACACGCACGCACGCACGCACGCACGCGCGCGCGCACGCACGCACGCACGCACGCACGCACGCACGCACGCACGCACGCACGCACACACACACACACACACACACACACACACACACACACACACACACACCACACACACGCACGCGCAGCGCACGCGCACGCGCACGCGCACGCGCACGCGCACGCGCACGCGCACGCGCACGCGCACGCGCACGCGCACGCGCACGCGCACGCGACGCGCACGCGCACACGCACACGCACGCGCCACGCGCACGCGCAACGCGCACGCGCACGCGCACGCGCACGCGCACGCGCACGCGCACGCGCACGCGCACGCGCACGCGCACGCACACGCACACGCACACGCACACGCACACGCACACGCACACGCACACGCACACGCACACGCACGCACGCGCACGCGCACACGCACACGCACACGCTCACGCACACGCACACTCACACGCACACGCACACGCACACGCACACGCACACGCACACGCACACGCACACGCACACGCACACGCACACGCA